CAAATATACCCAGTGACCATCAGGCATTGTCTCGTAATATAATTCCTTTGAAACCATGTATTCAGCATTAAGCTTAAAAAATGTCATCTGTCTTAGGCAAGGGTGCAGTTTTTCAGCTATATTCTCAACCAAAAGGGAATCCGACCTCAATTCGTTAATTGAAATTGAATTGAATTTGAAACGATTAAAAGAAAGAAGTTTGTTTACTAGTTCCTTATTCGGAACTTTGATACACAGATAAAAGAGATTGGAATTATGTCCCTTATTCAAGTATTATAATTCATTTCTACAGAAAATTAATAGTTTTTTAAAACGAGTATTTTTTAAATGGTTACATGCAAAAATGGACAGATTGATCAAGTCAAAAGAATTTTCAATTTTTAATTTCGAAATAATCGATTTCAAACACGCGTAAACGAGTCAATATAAAATGCAAAAGGACATTAGCGATTACCAACATTCGTAGATTTCATTTGAATTATCGCTTTCTAAAATGTCGCATACAACGGGGACTAAAATTGTATTTAAAAATTAACCACTTAATATATTAAGGTCAAACAAAAAACATTATTAAGATAATTCATTTGAATCAATTGCAGTAAATTTTTTCATCACTCTTCGCTGAAATCAGAGCTTGAACTGGTTTTTTGCAAATGTTTTTGTCGCGTGCGGATGCAGTACATTTTAGTGAATATCTTGAAAACGAACCAGGGCCCAAAATCGATCTTTGCACCAATTTTTCAAATTTTGTAAAATTAAAAAAGGGTGCTGGCACATGTTTTATTTTAGTTTGAATGCGTACAAATGTCGCATTCGACATCAGAAAATTACCTGTATCTTAAAATATCTTTGTAAGTGTATTTATTCGAGTTCCCGACATTAATGTTTGGTCAGCAGTTGTCTGTGAAAGGTGGCACAAAGGTTTATGTCTTATTATATAGAAGAAATGTTACTGATACTTTAAATGTACTTTATTTACTAGTTATGTGATTTGATACCAATTCGTATCTTTATAAATAAAAATCAATTAGAACCAGATTAAATCAATAATTTCGGTAGTATACACTTAAAGGCATACATGGGCACGCCTTGGCTCTTAGACCTTGTCGGCTCATTCCGTTATGTTCTGCAATATCACACAGCCTGACGGCAGAGGCTTCAGCGCATATCTTTACAAATACAAAACACATGTTTTTTTTTTTTTTTAAACCTGCAAGTCATTCAATGTTGTTTTTATATTTTTGCAGGGTATTATAATTTCAGTCAGAAGTTTGTTAAACTTTTATGTCTGGCTTATTACGTTATTTTTCGTGCCCATGTATGCTGTAATCCAAGTCAAGATTAAAATAAGAAGTTCGGAGGAATTACGTTATCACGTTATCCCATAATAATAAATCAACTTCTTAATAGCTTGTAATAAAATTATTTTTGAGTTCGACAAATTTTAAAATATATCTAGAAAAACACCGACATAACTTTAAAAAATAATATCTCGGAGACCAATAAAATTATTATATTGGTTGTTTGGTAATGACATACCGGTTTTTACATTCAAATTTCGCGCTTCGTATGTGAAGTCAAATATAATCGTATCTGGGAATGCTGTATATCGTTTGAGAGGTATTGGCACCACCTTTCACATGATAAATAGTTTATTTACATGAGCTTCAACGTTAAAAAATTACAATCGATTGAAATGGAGTTCACAAGCGCAGAAATTCGTGTAATTTTGAAATTTTATTTCGCACATGAAAAAACTGCTGCGGAATCTCGCAGACAGATTATTGCTGTCTTAGGAGATAACAAACAATCGATTAAAACCGCAAAACAGTGGCTTAGGCGATTCCGAAGTGGCAATTTAGATACCGAAACACCCAAGCCTACCGGACGACCAGTGACCGTTACGGATAAAATCATAGAAATAGTGGATCAAGATCGTCATGTGACTATTAGAACCATCGCAGAGGAGCTGCAACTAAGCACGGAAACCGTCCATAGGCATTTAAAGTCGAAAAATTTAACTAAAAAGCTCGATGTATGTGTTCCATCATGACAACGCCAGGCCCCATACATCTTTGGTGACGCGTCACAAGCTACGGGAGCTTGGTTGGGAAGTGTAAATGCATCCACCTTATAGTCCGGCCATTGCCCCAAGCGATTACCATCTGTTTTTGGCCATGCAAAATTTGTTCGATGGACAAAAATTGAGTTCAAGGGAGGATTGTGAAAATCGAATTGCCGAGTTTTTTGCCAGTAGGGACAAGGACTTATTTAGGAGAGGCATATACAAGTTACCATCAAAATGGCAGAAAATCATCGAAGACAAAGGTACATATAGAACTTAAATCGGACAAAAATCGTCGTCAAAAATCAATAAAGAAACCGGTATGTCATTACCAAACAACCTAATATAAATATCCCGTGGATATTAATATTAATATTAAAGGCGATTTGCCAGTCAACTTATATATTATAATCTATTATATGTACAATTTATTTTATATTCCCTTAATATACATTTTACTTTGCTATACCATTTGCAAGAGGCACCTCGAACTATATAAAGTGTAAATATTCTTGATTAGCATCAACAGCCGTGTCGATCTAGCCATGTCCGTCTGTCCGTTTCTACGCAAACTAATCTCTCAGTCGTATATGTGTCGGAACGGGCCGGATCGGACGACTATATCATATAGCTGACATAGGAATGATCAAAAAATTTGTACAAAAGAAATTATAATATTTTCAGTTTTCACCCAAATTCATCAAAATTGATATTTAGCCATTTTAGATTATTTTACAATTTTGTGTAAATTTGAAAATTGGACTACTATGTTATATCATATAGCTCCAATAGGAGCCATAAAGAAATTAATACAATTAAAAATTATAACTTTTTCAGTTTTAAAAAGTTTTTCATTATATTCAAGATATAGCCATTTTATATTATTCAAAAATTTTATGAAAATCGGACTTCTATATCATATAGGTGTCATACAAACGATCGTTAGATATAGAGGAAAAATGCAAATCTGTGAATGTAAAACTGTAAATATGGTATGTATGTTATAGGTGAAAGAAATGAAAGCAGGTATTACTACATTGTTTTTTAACATAAATATAAATAATTTATATTGTATTGATTCCTAGTCATCAAAATTCTATCTGCAAGGGTATATAAACTTCAGCGTGCCGAAGTTACCTTCCTTTCTTGTTATTATTAATATTCTATTTTTAAGCCCCTATGATTGCCTATGTTACCTATAATTTCAAGTCCTAGTATTACCAAAGTTTAATCCATAATGACCTTAGCGCACTTTTTATACAATACTTACAAATTTATTTTTTGTTTAATAATTTTAAATCTTCAGAACTTAAACTTTAAACATATTTTCCTTTCGTTTTGTAAAGTTATGCTGACTCCACAATTTGTTTACCTTTATAACAATTATTATTTTATTGTTGTTAGGCCCCTATGCTCTGTTTTTTAATCCTACCACTACTTACACTACTTACGTTTCTTAACCATTGATTACCGTAAAAATAAACATGCATATAATGAATACAACAATTAAATTAAATTATATAAATTAATAATTACTTCTTATACAACTTTAAGTCCGAATTTGTACGAGGACACGATCGCCTATAATTACGCATTGTTTCCATTTTCCCAACATTTTGATTTGATAAAATTATAGGAACGGAAACTTACATCGTCACGCCGAAGTTTGTATACCCTTGCAGGTTGCAATTCGATCATTAATAATGAATTAGTTTAATTATATATATTTAAAAAGTAATGCCTACTTTAATATCGTTCCTATCGCAACAGGTAGTCCGGTTTTCATAAATCTAAAACCGAAATTCTAGAATAATACAAAAGGGCTGTATTTCAAATTAGATCAAAACTCCTTTGAACCGCTATCTTTCGCATTCTTTTTCGGATTGCTTCGGCATAGATCAATCTGCACGATAAAGAAAATTTCAGGGAAATCGGTCAACAACAACAAGAATAACAACTTAAAGAAATTTGGCTGTGAAAATGGTCGTTGTGTAAATACTTTTACTTACTTAGTTTTTTTTTATAAATTATACAAATAATCCAATTGCAAAATGCTAGGGTAAATAATTTTCCGCACTCGAAGTTAGTTATTCTAAAAGTCGGTTTATCATTCACACCAAGAAATATGCCCTATTTTATTGATAACATCTTTTTTAATTTTAATTGTATTGCTTAATTTAATTCTTTGCTTAAATATTTGAGAACTGAGTAACATCAAATTGAATGGCTTATATTAATTTTCTGTCTTCTACGAAAAACACGATTATCAAGATCAGTAAAAATAGATTATATTCGAAACTCGAATTAAAAAACTTCCACGTATGTAGATATGTATGTATTTTTGTACATATGTATGTTAAGTATTTTACTGACGGAAAACTTTCAACTGCGTATTTAGACAGAGAGAGTCTAAATCCATTAAAACTAGTTAAATGTAAATACAAAAAAAGCTGTCCATATCACGCTGATTACATTACATATGAGTAATATGATATGATTTGGTATTTCCCCAAAGCCAATCCAAGCGGCCGCAGCATCTTGACAATGACTCGAAACTGGTTTGGGCTTGAGCTGAGCTACTTCTGGTTTTTTGATTTTGCGTTAAGATCAGAAGACCGGCTCAAAACAAAGCAACAGCTGAGTGAATAGTTGTAGCTTCGTAAGCGTGTAAGTAACGCAACGTAAGACCCTAGCTCTGACATCGGCAAAGCCCTAAAGACTGCGTGCATACATATGTGTGTATGTTTGTTAGGCGTGTAGCTCCCTTGCACTCTCTCTCTCTCTCTCTTTGTAGCTCTCTGTGTCTCTCTCTCTCTCTTTTTCTCTCTGAGTATTGCCATTTTCTATAAGCGATAATAGTACTAGAGTAAGCCGTAGTTTACCTGTTAAATGAATCCGCATCCATGCTTTCATTCACATGAGGACAATGCTGGCGAACGGACGCCAACGCGGTTTAAGATATAAAATAGCTCGATATAAGAAAAGGTGCTTCTATGTCTAAGAAGCTGCAGCAGCAAAAACCAATCAAAGTTTTTTAGTGCCGCGGGTACAAAAATTAATTTCAATCTAGATTTAATAGTGACGTGCTTTAACAATTCAAGTATAATCCTAAAGACGGAAATAATTTCTTGAATATAAATAAATAAAAAATAAAGTTTTATTATGAAGGATTTTGGCAATATGTTTGCACGACGTTATAGTGCAGTTTGTGTAAATGATGAAGATACGACCAATTGTCACAGGAAATCGCTAGATAAAGCCGGATTCGGGCCCACTAACGGAGATCCTGCAGCGACTTCGGCGGCTATGGCAGCTTTGCAACGTGCCCAGCGTCGCAAGAGCCTTAAAGCAAACCGATCAATGAAACCGATGTATATATTGGGCAGCTTTTTTAACGAACCTAACGAGGGCAAACGTAATAGAGTTCCTAAACGTAAGTTAAACCCGGAAATATGAGGCTGATGAAGTAAACCCCTGCATAGCTTTTGCGGAATTTTTTTTTTATTCCATTAACTAATATATTTTATATTTATATATATATATATATATATATATAATATATATATAATATATATATATATATAATATATATATATATATATTATATGTATATATATATATATATAAATATAAATATATTAGTTCTTTTTTTTAATGGAATGAAAAAAAAAATGTTTATAAATATATATATATCCTTTTTTTCTGGATTAATTATCAACATTTTTTATCAATGCGTTTTAAGTCTCATGCTTTTGCTACATGAGGAACAAACAAAAGAAGCCCTCACTAAAAAACCATCAAAGCTATTTAGCATAGCACTTCAGTTGTTGTGTTAAGTAAAAAAAAACGACAACGAAAAAAATCAAAAACTCAAATCGACAATGACATAGTTTGTCATAGAGTCTTCTCGAACCAAGTATCTTGCCAAACTGTGAAAACGACTGCGCCCAAAAACACTACAACTCGATTGCTTGTTAATTTAGTTGGACCCTGAACTTGAATATCAAATCAAAGTTAAACATCGTAAAATACATCCCATATACCGTAATTGTATGTGCATATAAGCTGTAAGACAAGTTCGAGTTTTAAATTACACGCAAGCATTCGATTTACTATTGTATTTAATGCATGGAGAGGCGGCAATGATCATAAAGTTGACCTTAAATTTCGTTACTGACGAGCTAGGTTATGTGACCATATATATAAATAAAATATGTACATGTAATATATACATACATACATATGTATATCCCACCAGTCAGTATGTTTATGCTGTCCTCTGTGGGAACATAAATGCTTTCTTCTTCATTGATTTTCACAAAACATTAACATTTGTAAATGGAAAACATTTTTACTTTGTTAATAAAAAAATTGATATTAAAAAGATTTATATCTGAAGTTAGCGATTTTAAAATTTTTGTCAAAATTTTAACTTTTTGAACGCATGCAAAAAAAATTAATAATGTCAATCGTAAAATTCAATAAATTTATGTTACAAATATAAATTTAATAACAAGAAAGGAAGCTAACTTCGGCACGCCAAAGTTTATATACCCTTGCAGATAGAACTTCGATCACTAGGAATTCATAAATGATGCATATTTATGTTAAAAAAACAATGCAGTAATGCCTGCTGTCAATTCATTAACCTTTAGATATTATTTTTACAGTCTTAAGAAATATGAATGCGTAACATTTTAAACTTAATTACATAAAAATCTTCATTAGCATTTAACTGAAATCAATGTTTGAACTTTGGAAAATACATAAATGAGTATGTTGTGCGTCTTAGATTTTAAGAATTATCTTGAAAATAAAATAGATTGATAGAATAAACATATACTAATATCTAAATAAATACATAATATCTATAAATAAATCAAATTGCGGTTTGGGGCATACATTTTCTTATTCGACATTAGTTTGCCCGTTTCCCATTACTTGTAATCTTTCGGGATTGTTTGTTAGATATATTTTTTTAAATCTACTAGAAACCTACAGTCAAGTCTGTCCAAAATTTAATACTTTAAATAAATAGACAAATGCGTTTTGCAGTCGAACGAAAACCTAACATAATTATTCCGATCTGATAAAACGAAAAAACTGAAGAAAAAATATTGAATTAAAGTAAAAGTGTCTGATATACAAATTTGTGACGATTTATGCATAACATTAACATTTTTAAATGGAAAACATTTCTACTTTGTTACTAAAAAAATTGATATTAGAAAGATTTATATCTGAAGATAGCATCGTTTTTTTATTACGCCTCGTTAAGAGTTGTTATACCCTTGCAGTGTATTATAATTTCATTTAGAAGTTTGCAACGCAGTGAAGGAGGCACCTCCGACCATATAAAGTGTATATATTCTTGATAATGATCAACAGCCAAGTCGGTCTAGCCATGTCCGTCTGTCCGTTTGTCCATTTCTACGCAAACTAGTCTCTCAGATTCGAAGCTATCTGAATGAAAGTTTGTAGTAATATACTCGTATATATGTCGGGACAGGCCGGATCGGACGACTATATCATATAGCTGCCATAGGAACGAATCGAAAATTTGTACAAAAAAAACTATAACATTTTCAGTTTTCAACAGAATTTTATAAAATTTTAAATATTGTCATTTTATACTATTTCAACAAATTTGAGATATAACCATTTTATATTAGTAAATTAAATTTTGTGTAAAATTTTATGAAAATCGGACGACTAAATCATATAGGTGCCATACAAACTATCGTTAAATGTGGATGAAAAATGCAAATCTGTAAATGTAAAACTGCAAATATAATATATGTACATACATAGGTGAATGATATGAAAGCAGGTATTACTTCATTGTTATACCCTTGCAGGGTATTATAATTTCAGTCAGAAGTTTGCAACGCAGTGAAGGAGGCACCTCCGACCATATAAAGTATATATATTCTTGATCAGGATCAACAGCCGAGTCGATCTAGCCATGTCCGTCTGTCCGTCTGTCCGTTTCTACGCAAACTAGTTTCTCAGCTTTGAAGCTATCTGAATGAAACTTTGTAGTTAGCTTTCTATATACTCTCAATCGTATATATGTCGGAACGGGACAGATCGGACGACTATATCATATAGCTGCCATAGGAATGATCGAATAATTTTTACAAATAAAATTATAACATTTTCAGTTTTCAACAGAATGTGATCACATTTGACATATAGCCATTTTATATTACTTTAAATTTTTGTGTAAAATGTTATGTATGTATTTTAAATATCAAATAGCTCCAGTAGGAATACAATTAAAAATTATAACTTTTTCAGTTTTCAACAGATTTTCATCAAATTTGAGATATAGCCATTTTATATTAGTCTGAAATTTTGTGTCAACTTTACTGAAAATCGGACGATTATATCATATAGGTGCCATACAAACGATTCTTCGATGTGGAGCAAAAATGCAAATCTGTGAATGTAAAACTGTTAATATAATATGTATAGGTGAATAAAATAAAATCAGGTATTACTTCACTGTTTTTAAACATAAATATATAAAACATATTGGCTGGATTCCAAGTCATTGAAGTTCGATCTGCAAGGGTATATAAACTTCGGCGTGCCGAAGTTTGCTTTCTTTCTTGTTTTTTACCATAAATTTATAATTTATATTGTACGGATTCCTAGTCATCGAAGTTCTACCTGCAAGGGTATATAAACTTCGGCGTGCCATAGTTAACTTCCTTTCTTGTTTTTGTATGATTTAAAATTTTTTTTATTTAATCTCAAATGGTTTAAATCAATACCAGCAATTTTGAATAGTTTTTTTTTAACCATAAATATTTTAAAATTCGTTTGACGCTTTAAAGTTTATTGAAATGTGCACATTTATAAAATTTTTTGAATTTAACTGTATATTTCAAGGAAGTAAATTTTCTTAGATGCTAAAAGTGAAGCAAGTTCAAGAGCCATTAAGTCACGAGTTACTATCAAAGTAACTATTTGGTAACTTTTCAAAGGGGGCGGAAAATATAGCTCTTAACCTTTAGGGAAGAAATATGGTAGAACAAAAGAATTTCAGTTTAAGATTTTTAATATACTAATAAAAGTTTCCGACATTTTTATTTGGAAGAGGCCGACCAAATCTTGTTTGTGTCGATAGGCACGTTTTGAGTTTTAGAATAAGACGATTCTAAGGATTTTGCTATACCGGCCCGTAAAGTCCCAATTAAAAAAGTTTACCCACATATCTCCTGATCTGAATAATTTCTATAAAGTAGAGCCACCGATATTTACTTCCGCGTTTATATATGTAGATAAAGTTGCCTTGTGCACATTATCGGTGGTGATAATCCACAAAAATAATAATTTTATCTCGTGGTGCTTTGGTTAAAATACTTATGGGATCAATATGGTTTTATATCTTTGTAGCAGTATATCAATATTCTCAGTATTTTAATAATATTTAAAGAATAAATATTATTGTCCCAGATGAAATTGATTATTAAACATAAGAAGGTTTTTCTAATTAAAAATGAGATCAAATGGGTTCAGATTTTCTTATGAGGCTTAACTAAACTTCAAATCAAAAATTGCGTTAAGATTATTTCAAGTTAAATAATCAACAAAAAAATTATTAAAGTTGTAGTGTCTTAAATATGAAATGTTAAATTGAAACTGATATTTATAACCAATTGGACAGTCTGAGAGCCAACAACCGAATGAAACAAGTTCTGGGTGCATAAATTGCTGGACGAACAAAATCGGCCCGCGGTTATTAAAAACTTTTAAAATACAAAATTACGATAAAAGTGACTGTTCACGGTCAAACAGGATTGTCAAATGAGTTCTATTAATATGTTCATATATTTTGTTTTTGTTCGTTTAGCTGCTAAAAATTATTTATTCAAAAAAGCGGACACATAGATAATGCCAAAAGCCAACACAATGAACACATGCCATCTCTAAATACAATAAATAAATAAAATAGAAGACATTCCATATATTTATTGAGACGCAGCATCACATAATGCGCGTCAAGAACCTATACAGCCGATCGATGATGGTGACTGCGAAGGGAACACCGGGAAAAGGCCAGTTTTAATGCCGAAAACAACTTTAACCCGTATTTAATGATGAGTCGGAATTCAAGTTTGCCAATCGTATGAAAAACTTTTAAATCTACATGTATTCCAACACCGCATAAAAAGTTGTCTCAGGTGAAATTTTGCTTAAGCTGTGACAATATGCAAAGCACAAGGAAAAACACAAAGAAGTCTCATATTGGGCTCCAAGCTATCAGCATGTTGTCTACATTTACCAGACGCAGATGCAAGCGGCAACAAATTTCTGCAACCGATGCTAGTGCTTTATTGCAACGCTGTCTGTCTTCTTGCAAAGTAATCAATTTACCTCAACTTTGTTTACCTCATCCGCAGTGCTCAACATATAGTAGAAACA